CCCACCCTCCCCCTCCCTCTCTCTCTTAGTGGTTTTGTGTGTGAAGAGGTTGAGGGTTCCATTCACACTTGGCCCCAAAACCAAATAGGTGGGTTCCCGTTGTCGGGCGACCGAAGGCCAGTCGGTCGCCCTAATACCGTCTGATTGACCCTTAGAAAAGTTGGCTGAGAAAGAATCGGCAGGGACTTTTGTCCGACCGGTTGGGAAAAATTAGGGGTACCTCGAGCACCCCTAAAAGTAGAGATGACGACTGCTGAGACTAGCCCTAGAAATTGACGAGAGGGGCTACCTCTTCCGCCGCGCTGAGGCCTACCTCTTTTCCGCCAACTCCGAGCCCGTTACCGGAACGACTGGCCACGGGAAGGTGATTTGAGAGTGGGCTTTGGTAAGGCCTTTTTACGCTGTCCAACTGACGCGAGAATGGGACCTCAGATTTCTTTAATTTCAATATTAAAATTAAAAACGGGAAAAAGAATTAAAAACGATAGAAAAAGAGAGAAAAACCGGATATTGTTTATTTTATTTAATTTCCTTGGTATTTAATTCTAATGAAATCACCCTCATTATTTGGTGTTTCCGGCAATAGAATTAAAAACAAGAAAAGGGACCAGAACCAATAAAAAGGAAAAGAAAACAAGGGATTTTGATGTTTTATTGAATTTTGTCGGGAACCATTTTTGATGAAAAGTCTTTTAATTTCATTATTTATGATATAGAATTAAGAAATAAGAAAAATAATTAAAATAATAAAAGGGCGAGGAACCAACGATTATTTAATGTTTAACTAATTTTTAAATTAATTGTTCGCGATTAATTTTGACCCCGGGGTATTTATCTATTCATCTTCCGACGATTCTCTCCATTTTCTGACGATTGAGATTTGCATGTGTGACTTACCCGATTTCCCTGATCCTTAGCCTCACCGCGACCCATGTGCTATGAGTAGTGTCGCAGTTGTGTTACTTCTGTCGAGTCATCCGCGTCATTGTGCCGGTGTGGCCGCCACTCCGGTTCGAACGTGAGGTTTGGAACAGGCTCGAAACTATCATAGCAGAGCTGCATGGGTTCGACATCGACATGTTTCAGGTTCGGTACGGGCACGACATCGGCATGGTACGGTCGCCTCATGTTCGGTATTGGTTCAACATCCTTGAGATACACACCGCAGATCATTTTCAGGTTCGGAGTTGATGTGGTATTGTATTTACATTGGTTCGGTCCGGTGCTCTGGCTCAGGACAGGTTCGGCGCCCGCATATTATGAATCACTGTGGTTCCAGTTGGTTGTCACAGGATCGTCATCGGTACAGCAGTGGTGCAGGTTGTACTAATTCAGGCGGATATGTTCCAGGTGCGGCGCCGGTATGTTAACAGGTGCAGTGTGCTGCGGTGCACACTGCTGATTTGGACTGTGGCCTTGGTGTATGTGTCAGCTTGTGGGTACCACTGGTTCAGCTGCGGGTATTGCTGGGTGTCCATGGACAGCACGGTACCCTCACTGTTGCAGGCCTGCGGGCGAGGTCCCAGACTGTCCTGCTAACGGAATATAGAGGAGACCAGCGAGGAGGGCGGACAGTGTGTGCAAGGTGTACGCAGCCCACTTCGTGAATCAGGGCAGCGGAGGTCAACGCGCTGGGAACTACAGCCCGTTTCAGTGACGGGGGGACAGCGAGCCAGGCGTTCTCAGCCCACCTGCTCGCTCTTGCACACGGCCCGATTGGGACTCAGGCGGGGAAAGGAGATGGGGTAGCGAGCATGGAGGACATGCGGGGAAGGGAAGAGAAGCAAGCATGGAGGAGCAGCGCGGACTGGACTGTGTGCCTGGCGTATGCAGTCCACACAAGCCCTTCGACCCAGGATTGAAATGGCCCGGTTGAAGAGTATGGCGAGCAGAGGTGGATGCGTGCCAAACGTCCTCAGCGCATTGCCCACGCCAGTGAGTGAGTACGGGGCGCACAGAGTGGTTGGGGAGACAGCGAAGAGGGACGATGCATAAGGTGTGCATAACATCGGAACACGAGGGAGCAAGCAGCCGGAGCAAGCAGCCGGAGAGATCAGGTGACTGCCGTGCTTGACGACGGGAAAAGGAAGTGGAGAAGCGAGCATGGAGGACATGCGACAGGGAAGTGACCAAGGGAATGATATTGAATCATACCTGTTCACTTGGCCAAGCGGGCTGCAGCCACGGCAGGCATGCGTGAGCTAAGAGATGGATTTGAACTCAAGCCCCCTTATTGGATCGCAGGCCTGGAGTGATGATCAGAGGAAGCGCAGGTAAGTAAAGACGTGGGCAGAAGGAACAGGGTACCTGGGTCTAGCGACAGCCACGTTCTTACAAAGTGGTTTCTGGGTGAGATCTGCCGCTGGGCAACAGCGGGATGTATGAGATGAAACGAATGTGGGATTGAGACCACTCCTATATGAGCGGGAGGTGGATTCTCTCTCTTCGCTGATGAGCTGCGATGCTCAGAAAACACCCATCCATTGACGGGGGAACGAGAGTTACTTCAGGACACGGCTTACCAAGTATAAGACGCTGTATCTTCCCATAATCTAGCACAGGATACAAGCGGCCATGTATCTTTCCATCATCTGCTGAAGATTAGTTCATTCGGAAATTAGGAAAACAAGGTATACAGTGCGCAGAGGGCGACGAATATGGGAATGTATTTTTCCACGTTCTAGCTGCAGGTTCGTTATTATTTCTTTTATCTGGTGAGCAATTGAACATGGCTGCAGTCTGCGGGGGCTTGAAATATGGTAGTGTATCCTTCCCTGTTCTGGCTGCACATGCATTTTCGTTAGTCACTATGCTGTTCTCACCTTCCTATTGGTGAGTGAACGCG